CCTCTTCTTCTTCTTTTTTTTGACGAATCCTTGTCTACTTTCTGTTTACTAGCTGCTGCATTTTTTAGTCCTGTGGGACATCCATGAGCATTGGAATGGTACAGAGAAAATTAGCATGGCCACCCGGATTACTGTGGGTGGCTGTCATCTGTCTAGTATCCCACCTCTACAACAACCTGGGCTTTTAAGAATAAATTTAAAATTGGGACCAAAAAAAAAGATTCGCATGGTCACTGCATAAAGATTAGATGCAGAAATCGAGAAATGGTCCAGCTTTTTTTCTAAAATAAGAAGACGACAAAAAAGACACTAAATTGTGTTTGTGATGACTACACGCATGGTCATGACATTGTGAGTGCGTTCATTACGACCTCGGAAGTTGGCAGGGGTGCTTGGTTGTTGTAAGACGTACGTTCCCTGAGACCCTGCTGTTGTTGTCCCTTGTTGACACTTCCGCGCGACTTTCTCTGTCTCGGCAGGAGCTTGTGACTGGATTATTGTCTTCTCACTGTGGGCCCAGCAGCGCAGCCCGACGGAACCTCCCACATGCCTGATTACTGTAGATTTTGTGTCGGTACGCGGGATTCGGGAATGAGAAAAATCTACAGTGCAGATGGGGTGTTCACTGGTGTCTTAAACGACCAGTTCATCTGGCGCTAAACTGAGGATCAATAAAATGGATTTTGCCTAGCCTAAAATTGCCCGGTACCGGCCATTAGAAAAATCAACACGGTGCTGGTGGTAACGGCCTCTCTTTTCTTCAAAAGACTGGGCCTCCCACAGACATTTTGGGGCCCAAGGCTGCTGTTCATCCGTTGATGTATTTGGCCCAGGGGTGGTACTCGTCTTTATGGAAACGGATGTACATTCACTTGGGATCGACTGGTGGTTTGAATGGATGTTTGCTTTTTATTTATTTATTTAAATCATTTTACCAAAATAACATTGACTGAACTTACAGGTGATTTTACTGTACATGCTGGTGTCAGTATGCATGGCCTCTTTTTTGTACGGGTTCTATTTTAGTCAGTTCAATTCTCACAAACACTCTCTAATTGGAGCAAAGGTGGTGTGCGATTGTTATAGATGATTGTAAAGAGAAAACAGAAGTGTGATGTGCTGCTTTGCTTTTGGTATCTTTTGTAGACTTGTTCTACAGGGGAGGGGCTCCACCTCCAAAGTGTGGACGGAGGCCTTTCGACCCCTGAATGCTGGACTCGTTTCGTATCTTGTATTTTGCCCTGGGCACTGGGACCCGTAATGAAGACTCGGACTATCGCATGATTAACAGGTTAAAAGAAAAAAACAAAGAAGTGTGATGTGGGATTTTCCCGTTTTTGTCTTTTTCTTTCTTAATTATTATTATCTTTGTGAGTTCTTTTTTTTGCAATGAACCTCACAAGATTCAACTCTAAATACAACATGCAAATTGAGAGGACTCAGATAAAACTCACACAAGCTTGAGCTATGGCCGTGAACAGTGCCAATTCGAAGTTCCGCTCAAAACATAATAATATATGCAATTGAAAAACTTCGGGACTAAGCGCTCAGAACCGCTGCAACACGACTCCAGTAAGTACCCAACCTTCCCCCCCTTCCGATCTGCTTCACTCTTCCCCTATCTCTCTTACTCCCTCTCTCTCTTCTCGCTCGCTACTTGCACTGTTCATCCCTCAATGCTCCTCCGTACTGTTCCTCCTCCCTTTGATGCCCTAGATCTACGATACCCCTGAATGCTTCTATGCTGTGCCTCAGAGCAAAATGGGCGGCTATGGCCGCCAAACACTTCGCCTTCTCTCTCCTGGCTATGGTGGTCTGTTACAGCCAGGGTGCTGGTCTTCTTCCTCTCTTCAGCGCTATTCTTCGCCCAGGTTGCTAGTTCCCACTAGCTCCAGCAGTGTTTTCACAAATTTGTGAAATGAACAACTGACTGCCTTAAGACACTGTAGCCCAAAATATATCATTGCAGTGGGCTGTGTGCCTGCTTCAATCGGTACCGGCCTCCTTCAGCCTCTGCCTTGCCAAATTACTATTTTGGTAAAGTTTCCTACTTTCCTGTGAGGCTGGTGCAAACTGGACTTTTGGGAACTTGACGTGCTCCTACAGGCAATGTAGCCTACCGGCCTACGGTGTCTGATCCTACAGGCCCTAAGACTCTAAAATATCGGGGCTTGGACTGGGGTAATTCGGGACCCTAGAATCGGGACTGGGAAAGCTTGCAACGTGAATCCATTCACTCCCGCCGGCCTCATTTTGAGGCCCTCTGAGTAAAATCAGAACTTTAACGGTCATAGATGTTCAATCCTCGGTGTGCCCACTCATAGTATGACATGATATGAGGGGCTGTCTGAGCTCACTCGTCGCTGGTGAACCAGCGATCTTCGCTGGGATCCTGATAACAGTGTTGGCCCCCGGTCTGACCGGGGAGCCCTCCTCGAGCCTGAACCGTTCCGGTCAGACCGGCCGGGCGACCGCCCCGGCTCCCCCCGGTCAGCCCCAGCGCATTTCCACTGGGGGGCCGTACCAGGGTCCAAACGCCGTGAGGGGTGCTCCAGGGCCTGTACGAGGCCTGCAGGAAAAAAAAATAATTGAAACCGGTCCAGTAGGCCCGCCCAAATCTCGAGAGATCGGCGGCCCAGATCGTCCGCCCTTTTGAAACGATTTGGGCGGGATCTGGCGGCCGCCTCTACCCCCACCACACGCCAACCGTTGCCTCCCGCGGCCGCTGCGTTTTCCCGAACTCCACTTCCACATTTGTGCCTCATGCCATCGCGTTGCTGCCATCGCGCTCGCCCAGCGGAACTCGGCACAGCAGCCCGCCCATCTGCGCGCCAGCGTCTCAGGCTCTCAGCTGCGTCTGTGTGTCATCGCCAATGTGCCAGCACCCGTGTGCCAGGGGTGAGAGAGACAGAAAATCTTCTTCTTCTTCTTCTTCTTCTTCTATGCGCGCGCGCGCGCGCGCGCGCGCGCGAGAGAGAGAGAGAGAGAGAGAGAGAGAGAGAGAGAGAGAGCACTTTGTCGAACTGTTACCCATTGCCCTCCGCCCTCCGCCCTCCACCTTCTTCTTCTTCTTCTTCTTCTTCAGTTTTCCCGCTCTTTTTTTTGTTTTGTTTTCTTCTGCCCTCCACCAGCGCATTCTGCCCCTCCGCCCGTCTGCCTCCCCTTTCTCCCTTCTTGCCCATATCCCCCATACCCCATTGTTCTTCGCCCATCAGTCTTTCTTCTTCTTCTTCTTCTTCTTTAGTTCTTCTTCTTCTTCTTCTTCTTCTTCTTCTTCTTCTTCTTCTTCTTCTTCATCTTCAGATTCTTCTTTCCCCCTCCTTTTCCACGTACTCCTCCTCCTTCACCTTCTCACCCCACGACTGCCCCTTCTTCCCCCTCCCCCCTCGCCACCTGCTCCTTCTTTTTCTCCTCCTCCTTCCATCCTCCTCTTCGTCAGGATTCTTCTTCTCCTCCTATTCCTCCTGTAATCTTTAGTTCTTCTTTTTCTTTTCTTCTTCTTCTTCTTCTTTTTCTTCTTCTTCTTTTTCTTCTTCTTCTTCTTCTCCACGAACGCTAGCCATAGGCACAGGCCCCGATTATCTTCTTCTTCTTCTCGTCCTCCTCCACCTTCTCCCCCATCTCTCCCGTAGGCAGGCACAGGCGCGTTTTTTTTTTCAAGTTCCTCATCAAGGCAGCCGTAGACTCGTTCTTCGTTTTCGGGTTCCTTCTTCTGCCCCCCCCCTCTCCCATAGGCAGCCATACACTTCTTCTTCTTCTTCTTCTTCTTCTTCTTCTTCTTCTTCTCCTCCTCCTCCCCCATCGGCAGGCATAACCATAGCCATAGGCCTTGATAATTGTCTTCTTTTGTAACACCGGCACAAAGAACCCCACCCCCACTGCTTGCTATAACACCACCCACTAAGAAGTCTCTTATACACATCTAGATGTGTATAAGAGACAGGTCTGACCGTGGTTTCAAAATAAAAAAATAAAAAAATGCGGACAAGTTTTGAGCCCAACCGGAAGTCCGGTTGGAGGACCTGGGTTGCTGGTACGATAGCAGTGCTGGTGAGGATGGACTGTGGGTTCCCGCCTCGTGGCACAGCGACAAGTATATAAGAGTATAGCACGGAGACATTGGCCTCAATCTGAGTGGCGTATGAGGTAGAAGGATTGAGTATCCTTGACGAGTTGGTGTCAAGGAGTGTGGGGAAGGAGGTGATGGCGCCATGATATGTAATACTCATATCATCTTCTTCTTGTTATTATCCATCTTTTTATTCTAATAAATTTGTTGATGGTATAGAGCCTCAGACTTGACCTTGCCGCGGCTTGGGAACGAGTCTGAGGTGCCGTTCTCTCAGGAGATCGTCGCGTGCTCTCTCTCGCGTATATTTTCATTTGTCATTTCATTTGTCATTTCATTTGTCATGACATTTGTCATGTCATTTTTCATGTGTCATTTTTTAAAATGATTGCTATTTATTATGTATCACTCTTTCATGTCCTATCATGTTTATGATTGGCCTTGAGTTTCTCATGGTTAAGTATGTTGGTATTTATGATAGTATCATGCGGCACCTCCGATTTGATTTTCTCAAATTCAGTTATCCAGTTAACTTGCACTTTTGAGCGTGAAGGCTCTCATCTTGAGTATGGTGGATAGAGATTGCACATATCACTATACGTACTCAGCTATCAGGCACAATTTTATTCTGTGCTAAGTAGCGCGCTCAAGGCTGGATAGGTGAGAACCTATAATAAGGTGGTGCACGCGTGGTTGGTGTAACGAAGTCGACGACAAGATCTCATTGAAGATTGCGACACGAACTCGAGCGAAGATTAGGGTGCTCGATCTGGGCGAAGCGTGTAATGACATGGAGGCTTAAGTGGTGGGACTGGGAGATTGGCAGGCGGCGTGAAGAAACCCGACTGGACTGTCGTATGTAGTATTGGTTGGGTGCTCTTTGCATGCTCTATCGTTGGTCGTATGTACAGACGGGGTAGAGGGAGTAAGGGCGGTGGCCGAAGAGGACGGCGGTCGAGTTGTGGAAGGTATTGGTCGAATATGAATTCAAATAATGGTGCTGCTCAACAGGCACCAAACCAAGGGAACGCCATTCAATATCGACATCCTGGTGGGATGCCTGCCCAGCAGGGTGGGATATATCAGGCGCCTGCGCTCGCTGGGCAAGGGCCGCTGGTCGGAGGACAGATGCCGGTTCCAAATATGTCGGCTATGCTGCCTATGTCTGCCTCTGCGCCAGGTGTGGCAGGGGCATATACGCAACCTCCGCCGCCCGGGCAAAGGGGTGTGCAGATGTGGCCAGCCCCATGGCTGGCCCCGGGGCAATGGAGCATTCCACCGGTTAACAATCTGCAAGCGAGTAACCCGCAGCTGCCTCCTCCTCCTCCTCCTCCTCCTCCCCCTTCTCAGCAGCAAGCGTCTAGCAATAACGATAATAGGGAGATTAATTCGAACGGGAAAGGACCATCAACTAATGCCTTTCCTGGACCTGGAAACCGAGCGTATTTTACGAAAGAGTATATGGATATACTAGAAGATATTAAATCGAATAAGGCACTGGAGGACGCGAGGAAGAAGATCGCAAGTGGTCGGCGAAGCCGCATTCGCATAGCTGAGAATAATGTGGAAAGCTGCCGGTCGAAGGTGAAATCAGTTGACAAAAGTGAGGAGATGAAGGCCTGGGTCACGTCGACGCTGGGTGATTCGTTGAAGCTGATCACACAGAAGTTGGAACAAGCGGACTCGAAATCAAAGTTGGCTACAGTGGAGAAGGAGGAGCTCGAGAGGCTGAGGGCCGAGAAAACCCTTCTGGAGAAAGGGAAGAAAGAATCTAGTAGTGAGAAGAGAAAACGGGGGGGGGACCGGACCCCTGTTGTCGAAACACCGAGAGAGAACGTGGGTAGATCCAGATCGCGCAGCCAGACGAAGGGCAAGACCAAGAAAATCGAAATTTCCTTTGATGAGGAAGGGGCTGGAGGTGCTGGTGTAAAGCAAAATTTAAACGCTAGGTTGGAGGGAAGCTCGGACCTGGCTGACGTCAAGAAGCTGCTCGCCGCGCTGGTGCAAGGGCTTGCTGATCTCAGAGGGAAGAGACCCCTGTGCACTACGGGACCTGCGATTGAGACCGCTGAAGCAGCGGATGACGCGGAAGATATTGACTCTGCACTAGGCACCAACGCTGCACAGAACAATCTGGTCGAGGAAGACGAAGAGGAGTCTGATGAAGGTGGGTTGGCCGCATACATGAAGATGCGACTTGATTTTTACTCATCTCTTCACTATACCAGAGTACAAGAAATGTCCAAACAGCGGAGCTTGCCATACTTTCGAAAAGAGATGGGGGCCTGGGAGCTCGCCCGTCTTGATCTTCAAGAGTACACTGATTCGCTGAATGAAGAAGCCCCGTCCAGAACCGGGGAACCATCTAGACACAATGATGTGTTGAGCCATGACGAGGCCGATGGGGCGGATGATGGCGAGCCCGATGGTGCGGTTGCGGGAAAGTGAAACTCGGGAGCATCCACTCTCTAAGGAGGGCTGTTGCCAGAATTCGGAAACTGAAAAGCTGTGCGAATGTCACAATGGCTGCACTTTTAGATCGAGTCCATATCCTCATTATTTTGCTTGCCTGCCTGTGGGGTAATATTACATGGGGAAGGGCGTACCTGGGCTTTTGGTTGCGCATGTCCTCCCAAGAATGGGAGATGATGCTGCGTGGGAAATGTTGCGTGTATGTTCTTATGTCCTTAAATCACAAGTTGATCTGCATTGGTAAAACTACTCGCACACTGAAAGAAAGATGGGCAGAGCACCGTCTCGCTGTTAGAGGCGTGAGCAAGCAGCAAGTGCACGTATGGCTGCGGAAGGTCGAAATTGAGCATTATGTCTCGGTTCCAATTTGGTTCGGGGATGTGTCGACCATTGAAGGAATGGAGAGAAAGATCATTAGTAGCCATAATCCAGGGTTAAATATGAAAGCCTTAGGGCAAGAGGTAAAGAAGAAGCCACGCAGGTGTCGGGGTAGCAAGAAGGGGGTGGATAGATCACTGCTGGTCATTATAAATGAGCCACTATTTTTCGATTGCCCGGGTATGGACGTTCGGCAGGAGCCTGACTTGCTCCGGATTCTGAAAATGCTGCCTAAGCAAAAACAGAAAGGGGAAGTGCTAATTAGCAACAACTGTGGGTGTCGATGGTTGAAAGCTTGGAGGTTAGTTGTGTTGCTTTTTGGGTTCACGAAAATTGAGATGCATGGTGAGAAGTTCCTTCTGAAGGATGCTAGAATCGCAATTGACGGTGGAGGATGTTGGTCTATTGTTGGGCTGCTCCAAACCAGGACAAAAACCGAGCTCTTGAAAGCTGAGTTGATTGCGCTTTTAAGAGCGCCTTGGAAGCGCAGGGACTTGTTCTCACGTACGCTGGAAGAATTGATTGACTTAAATAATGGTGTAAAGTCTATCAACCAGCGAAGGGGCTGGCAAATCGTGCAGGGAATATTGACTAACGTTTAAAAAAAAAGATTTGGTATTAACCCACGGTTGAAAGTGGTCATCAAAATTCCGTTTTGCACTACCATTGACAAACGCAACGTGGAGGGTGTCGTGAAGTCTTGGATTTTAGATAAGGTCCGTCCTGTATCGTTGGCTCACCTGTATGCTAGGAGAACGCGGGCAGTTTGGCTTAAAGTCAGGACTGTAGGCGACATCCTGCATAACCAGAAATTGTCTGCACAGATGGAGCCTTTTGACTGCGCCTGCGCTGGATTTAACTTGCCTATGGTAAATGGGCACGTAGCGGTGAAGTGCAGCGAGATTGAAGGGGTACACTCTTTTTTGTTTAATGCAAAAAATGTGCCCTTTCCCGGCACCTTTACAACCAAGGACGCTCTGGATAGGATCTGCAATCTGTCATTGGATAGTCTGAGGAAGACCCATGCTATCTCTGAGTGTATCAGGATAGACTGGCGTGATGTATACAGGCCTGGGGTGAAGAATGTTGGTGATTGCGTACAAAGTGAGTATGTGAATGGCGTAGCACAAGCCTTCAAGGGACTGGTCATGTCGCTTCTGGGTCGCAACACCAGTGAGACATGGCTAGAATGCCCCAAGTTGTATGAAGCTGGCCTGAAGGTGATGTTCCTCGACAATGATAACTATGGGAGGATAGAGAAGCAGAAGTCTATTGTCCTCAGAAAAATGAAAAAGAAGTTCGACGATAGCCACCTTGGTGATATGGCTAGATGGGACAGGGGAGGGGAGCTCCAACATGCGTATATCCTTGCTAAACTGAAGAGGCGACCTATAGTCCCGTCATTTGCTAGCCCTTTCAGGTCTGCCTCTGGTCTGCTGTCTACCGTACTAAATACGTTGATTAGAAAGGTGTCTGTCCCGCACTTCAATCTGCATGCGATGTATGATCTGAAGGTTGAGATCAGCAAAATTAATTAGTATGGTTGTACCACTGGGATGACCGATCTTAGCTTTGTGGCACGGGCATATGACATTAAGGAGATGCTTACTCAACTACCGCATTGTGAAATCAGTCGGGCAGTACGATGGGCGGTGGAACTGTTCCATCAGAAGGGCATCCGAAGAATCAGAGTGAACATGAGGAAGAAAGTGGCTTGCTTTGGGAAAGTGCATGGTGAGGCAGGCAGGAAGACAGTTAAACTTAGTAAGCTTGGGTTGCTTACTGATTTTCAATTAGGGAACACCTTTTTCTTGGTCTCGGATGCTGTCCTACGACAGAAGAAGGGCATTCCGATGGGGGGTAGGGCAATCCCCCCGCTTGCGTGTATCATGTGCATGCTGGCCGAGTACTAGTTCCTACGGGCCCTGGGGACTGATGGTAAATTCATTACGGGCAAGCGGTATATTGATGATCTGCTGGTTGTTTCGGTTTTTCGGATGAATGACCATGAGGGGCGCATTAATGCTGAAAAATGCCTCGATTTGCTTACGATCTGCTATCCGGACGGGCTGCTGTTGGAAAGAACTGACCCTGGGAACGAGATCTTATATTTTCTAGAAACATGACTGGTGGTGACTGGGGACACAGCGTCCATACTGATGTCCCACAAGTTTAAAAACGCGGACACCATTTGGGAGGATGGTCCGCTGAGATTCTGGACCGTCAAAGATTTTTCATCCTTTGGTCCTCGTATGGCCAAATTCGCTACAGTCGCCAATACCATCCAGTGAATTGCGAACAACTCCAACGATTTGGGGCTGACGTGCCTGAATGTCCTCAGCCTGATCGAGGAACTCGGGAAGCAGAATTACCTCGGTAAAGTGGTCACAACCGGGTTGCGATGGATGGAGAAAAGGGATAAGTCGCCGTTTTGGGGCAAAATGATGGAAGTGACGAAGCAATGGATCCTGGAGAAAAAAGATACTCACCTAGGATACTGTGACACTGCAATCTGAGTAGGTTACCGGACACCAGGGCCCGATATCGGGGCACGTTCGTCGAAGGACAATCTCTGATAAGCAGCTCGGATCTGCTATCTGGTTTAAACCCGTTTGAACGCTGGAGTCTGCGAAAAAGACACAGTGCAGCGGCAGCGTTCTTATACAGCTTGGAATCGTACATGCGAGATTCTCCCCCCCACAACCAGCTGAGGGGTCCGCACCGGGGGGCCACACAGGTGGCCAAAGGGAAGAGAAGGAAAAAGGGGACTAGGAGAGACAACCAGGTGGGGAGGGGGGGTTGAAGGAGGTCCCACAACCAGCTGAGGGGTCTGCACCGGGGGGGCACACATATGGCCAAAGGGAGGAGAAGGAAAAAGAGGACCAGGAAAGACATCCAGGTGGGGAGGGGGGATTGAAGGAGGTCGAAAGGATTGAAGGAAAGGAAAAGGAAACGAGGAACACAGGGAGAGAAGGGACGGAACTGACAACGCAGACGAAGATGAGTCGAGAGATGCATGTGGTGCTGGTGGATGACTCGACCGGGGGACAGGGTCGGGGGGAACAAAAGGAACACTTTGAAATGGTGAAGGACAGAGAGGGCAGGAAGGACAGGGAGAGAATGTTGGGCCTACAGGAGGCAGGAAGGAAGTAGGACAACAAGAGGGTATGGAGGAGCATCAGAAGAAGCAGGATACCCCAGTGGCACCAGGAACACAACCCCCTCCCCTCCCCCCTGAGGAAACACAAACAGAGATGGCCCTAGTCAGCAAACGGCAAAAAATGAGCCATCTTTTGGAAGGGGGTCAAAGAGCAAATAGCCTCTCTAAGACAGCGGTCATGGTAATCCCGGTCCGGAAAAAGGAAGGGAGATGGGAGATAGGCTTCTCCATAGCTCCTGGGGCCCTACACGGGGAAGTGCCACTAGGAGGATGGTCCCCCCAATTCCCCTTGTGGTCCCAATCAGGGACAAACCACTTTATGAAGGAAGCACGGTCTTTCATAGAAAAAGCCTTCGAACCAGGAGCGACTGCCACCAGAAGAGCTGTGTATGGCGAGCAAACGCTGGCTGATAACTATGTTTATGTGCTCTTTGATCCCAACAAGGAAGCTGGTCTGCGATGGCTCACACACACGGCCCTCTTAGAGCTGCAACTACTAGAGATCAAGCCCAACAAGATGTGGTCAGAGCAGGATGTTAGGTTAGCGTTGTCTAGGGTCCTTAAGGAGGGATACCTGCATCCCGCTGGGGCCAAATAGGATGATTGGGATGTGGTCGAATGGGGGCGCCTCTTAAAAAAAAAAAAAAAGAGGAGGGACTGGCAAGAGATAGAAGAAGATAAGATGGATATTATTAAGGCGCTCTATAATGAGGACAAGGATTGGAAGAAAGGGAGAAGGGAGGCAGATTTGGACCTACACTCCTTAAACGTAAACGGCCTGGCAACGGCCACCCCACAAAAGAGACAGGCCATATGGGACCAGATAAAGGGAGTGGGGGGGAGGGACTGGCCATAGTACTTTATTTGTGTTCAAGAGACTCATTTGATGGATACGGTAGACCACCACTATGCGCAAAAAATGGTCTGGCCGTACCAGGCCTTTAGGTAACATGCCCCGCGTCTGTGGAGCGCCGGGGTTGCCATCTGGCTCCCCCCCTGGACTCCAGGGCGGTACCAGTGGATTGGGCAGCCGATCGTGAGGGAGGGAGATGGGTATCAATCCTGGCGATGCTGGAGCTGGAGCTAGTGAGAATACTTTGCATTTATGGCCCAAATGAGGTAGGGGAACGAAGTTTTTTTTTTTAGAACATAAAAGATAGGGTTCCGCAGACCCCGCAAGGGATTCCCATCATCCTGGCTGGGGATTTCAACGCCGCATTAGACAGATGGCTAGACAGGTGGCGAGTCCCATCCCCGTGCCCGACATACGTAGGGACGGGCGAACAGAAGTGGCGGACCTCTGCTCCTCCCTTAATATCTACGATACATTCTGCAAAATATACCCCACGAGGCGCGCTTTCTCTTGCTTGCGAAAAAATGGACCTGAAAGAATCACAAAATCAAGAATTGATTTAATACTAATCTCCACAGAAATTGAAGGCGCCCTACAGATTGCAGAGATCTTCCCACGAAACCCATACCCCTGACTAGACCATGCAATGTGTGTGGCGATCCT